ACGAGAAGATAGATTTTAGTAGAACTCCCTTTTTCGTGCACATGAAGGAAAATTCTTCCGCCTCAGCTTCAGCTCCTCGTCGAAGGAAAGGTAAAAGGGTAGAACTGGCATAAGCGTGAAAAATCNCTCAGCGATGTCGTAGAGGCTGCACTATCTCAAAAAACTCCCATGCTGGAAGTTCAAAAAACTTGTCATGACCCATGGAGACAGTGGAAGGCACTTCTGGACAATTCTGACTTGGCATAGGCAGCTCTTTGCGCAATTGTAACAGCTGAAATCTCGTCCGAGTACCTCTTCCATGCCATTTCCGTAATGGTAATCTCGTACAACCTCTATTTCCACCACTTTTGAAGAGCGATTTTCCGCAGTAGGCTGATATTCTCGTTTCCTTCGCGAGGCTTTCAGGGTTGGAGTAAGCTTGAGAGGTGAGATTATTAAGCCCAACCATTTCTCGACTCTACCCTTTTACGGCCTGAATACCCAGACGAAGACTGATCCACTGAAATTGCACTTTGAGTAGGTTTTACAATCGACCGGTAATTCTGCAACACTGAGTTCGCAACAGCTATCATAGCCTTCAATTGGAAATTCGGTTAATACATTCTTTCTACACGATCCTACATTCGGTGGGCGCGGCGTGGTCAAAACTTCATTCGGCTACAAGGTACCTCACCCCTGCTGTAAATCCTTACTCCACTGCTACGCTTTAAACCACGTGCGACTACCTGGAAGAGCCTATTATTTCCCAGTATTTTCTCCCATAACAGTTAAAATTTAAAAAAATTGCCGTCATGCGTTGTTTTTACCCTGACAAACTCTCAGCCATCTCTTCGAAGTCATATTTTTTGTTTATTATCATGACCATCACTAATAGAGAGAAGCCATAGAGTACATCCGACTTGATTTTACTGTTAAGCGAAGACGGTGTCAACACGAAAAGGAGTATAAACAGCTCGAAAGTAAAGAAATCGGATAAAGCAGAAATTGGTTGAGGACGAACGAACGAAGGGAGTGGGGCATGACTTGATGGAGTTATTCTTCCGAAATTTACGACAGCTCCATTTGAACGAGAAGATAGATTTTAGTAGAACTCCCTTTTTCGTGCACATGAAGGAAAATCCTTCCGCCTCAGCTTCAGCTCCTCGTCAAAGGAAGGTAAAAGGGTAGAACTGGCATAAGCGTGAAAGTCGGCAAGAAGAAAGGAGTAACAGTAATGAAGGAAGGTTCTTGGTCAGGAACAAATGTGTGGAATGGAAATATGAAAAAAATCCGAAGGAAAGTAGCAAAACTGTCTCCAAATAAGTGAGCGAAATGTTTTGAGAAGAAGAAGAAGACGGTGAAACAGCTGATTTATCGTCATATGAAGACTTCAAGGGTCCGAGAATGCGCTGCATTTCCAGGCAAAGGGCAAAATATAATTATTGGAGGCGAAATAACGTGAAGAATAGAGAGTAGATGAGACACTCAGAAAGCATGATAGCAATAATAGTGCCGGAAATAGGCTAAACTCGGATTATGATTCCGTCAGTGTTCGTAGTTCTCATACTCTGGCTTTTTAACAATTCTATCAAGGCTCTTGGATANAAGGTTCTTGGTCAGGAACAAATGTGTGAAATGAAAAAATGAAAAAAATCCGAAGAAAAGTAGCAAAACTGTCTCCAAATAAGTGAGCAAAGTTTTGAAAAGAAGAAGAAGACGGTGAAACAGCTGATTTATCGTCATATGAAGACTTCAAGGGTCCGAGAAAGCGCTGCATTTCCAGGCAAAGGGCAAAATATAATTATTGGAGGTGAAATAGCGTGAAGAATAGGGAGTAGATGAGACACTCAGAAAGCATGATAGCAATAATAGTGCCGGAAATAGGCTAAACTCGGATTATGATTCCGTCAGTGTTCGTAGTTCTCATACTCTGGCTTTCTAACAACTCTATCAAGGCTCTTGGATCGCTCTAAGGACACTGTCACTCACCTCTACATCCACAGTATTTTTTCGTGATCCTTCTCCTCCTGTTTGCTTCAGTACTACACGATGTTTCTTTCCAATATTGATCTGAACACTGGGACATAAAGAGTTCAATACAATCTTAAGCAAGGTTTCCGATTGGCGAAAACCTTAAAAAATCATTAGTGCGCTTGGAAAGCACCCGCCAAAACTTGCAATCGCTCAGATTCTTCTGAAAGGTCCTTGTGGAACTTTTCGTAGTGAGGGCCATCCTTAGTATGAATATACAGTTCCCTTTTACTTCTAACGTCAATGAGGCTCTTTTCTCCTTTACTACAATGAATAACCACTACTGAAGTTTATCAAAACTTCTGTCGAGTATTCGATTCTGAAGCACTTTCCCTGCGGTCTGCGCACGCTTGGACTTTAACTTCAAGGTTGGAGAACAACAGGGTTCCTAACAAAACTGTTCGAGAGTTGTGGAAAAGCTGCCTAGGAATACTAGTACGCTGAAGAGATAATTGTCGAAAACAACGGCTTCTGATTAAGCAGAATGAAGAAGACGTTGGTATGTGGTGAAAACACCTTTTGAGCGGTTCTGAGTAGAGCAAGAGAACTTCCACTTTAGCCTAAAAGCTCTCGGAAACGTGCAAGAAGGAAAAACCGAGCTTACGACATCCTCGCAGCTTTACTAGCCTTATCTAGCACTTTTTACTTAGCGGAAGCCACATAATGCTCTTTCGTTTACGCCATCGAACGCTGAAATGACCTAACCATCATGGAACTCCTTTCCCAGATAGCTGTCCTTCTTTGAGTAGTTGAAATGGAGAAGTTTTGACAGGATTTTTTTCAGGATCAGATATGAGTAGCGACGACCACGATGGCGAATGATAGCGATAGTAGCAGCGGTAACCGAAGAAGGAGCAGGGGTCTGACTGAGAGCGTGGATGAGCAGATCAATTAGATGTCGCCAGAGTAACGGACTAATCCGAATCATGGAGGTTCTACAGATCTGTGGCGCCGTCCTGAGGATTACCAGGTCTTCCTATGAGTCTTCACTAATCCGTTTACATGTCTTTCTCGTCCAAACATCTATGCCATGGATGAAGTCGTGTGGAAGAATCCCTTTAACTGGATGGGTTCGAAGCTATTTGTTATGTTGTTGAGGTTATCGGAATGTTGAAAAGCGCTAGAGGGTGGGCTGATAGTGGGCTGATAAACTAATTGGATCGATAATCATTCA